CTAGAACTGAACTAGAACTGAACTAGAACTGAAACTAGAACTGAACTAGAACTGAACTAGAACTGAACTAGAACTGAACTAGAACTGAACTAGAACTGAACTAGAACTGAACTAGAACTGAAACTAGAACTGAACTAGAACTGAATACTGACTAGAACTGAACTAGAACTGAACTAGAACTGAACTAGAACTGAAACTAGAAACTGAACTAGAACTGAACTAGAACTGAACTAGAACTGAACTAGAACTGAACTAGAACTGAACTAGAACTGAACTAGAACTGAACTAGAACTGAACTAGAACTGAACTAGAACTGAACTAGAACTGAACTAGAACTGAACTAGAACTGAACTGAACGAACTAGAACTGAACTAGAACTGACTAGAACTGAACTAGAACTGAACTAGAACTGAACTAGAACTGAACTAGAACTGAACTAGAACTGACTAGAACGAACTAGTATTGAACTAGAACTGAACTATTTAATTAAATTTAATTGAAATAAAATTGACTCATTCTTTGAATATATTCTTATTAATTTTTGAATTGATCTCGTATATTGTTTCTGAAAATATGTTTACCACTGTACATTGAGATTATGCAAATATCTATTCAGTTCATTTCGTTTCTATATCTCACACACTCTCATTCTGTCTTTTATCTCTATCTCTCTTTCTTCCTCATAGTTACCAGGTCTTATAAATGTTGTAGTATTTGTTTTTGGTTGCTGGGTCTGAGTATGTGTCTGTTCAGTTGATATTATGCCCTTTTGTTGTAAAATCCCATAATGCTCTAGAGAATTTTGGTTTATGATGACAGGTTTTGTTGCTGTTGTTGTTGTACTTAATAAATCAACGTATTAAAATCAGTATTTATATTCAACATACATATTTTCAAAAGGGACAAAATAATCATACTCATATTTGTTCAAGACGACCGGAAGCTTTGTGAATTAAAACGGAAGTATAGTGAAATTTTCTTAAGGTAAATATTGTTTGTATAATTTGTAAGGAAATTAAGGTGTATTTAGTGTACCGATTGAGGAGTTTTAGGTTGTTATGTGAAATGCAAACAATAAATAAAGCTGTTATTATTAAAATGTTATTAGTGAATTTCTTTGGTGAGAGATATTATAATACGAAATGATGGGTTAAGAAGTTTTTTTAATTATCAAATAGCTTTTATATTATTTTTAAAATGTTTGTGCTTACAAAATCTGAAAGCTCTTTTCAAGTCTTCAGTTCATTGCCTTTTTAATTGTAGAATTAAATATAGCACGTGGTCTCCGCAGAACAGCCTTGGCCGTATTAAGACTTTACAGCCTTCATTAAGTAATCCAACCAACAACTGAGTATTATACATATACATATTTTTGTGTTCGAGTTATAATGACACGAACACACTTAAAACTTTTTTAATGCTTCGCATACAGATCATTTGACTGCCACATTGTTTGCACTTACATACATACTGACATAATTCCACATAAATTTCTTACTTTTAATTGTATTTTATAACATAAAATTGCAGAATGTTTCTATTATATTTTATAATTTGTTACTAACAACAGCACAAGTACGAGTATTAACTTTTGTCATAAAAAAGAAGTTGATTTTATGGGGCCAACTTTTTAAATTACAATTTTTATTTATTTTGTTGTGCTTTTCTTATTTTGTTGTTGCTAATTACTGTTGCAACATGACGACATTATAAAAATAAACCATGTCAAAATGCATCAACAATATCTCAACATCATAATCAAAAAAAAAAACAACAACAACAGCAGCATCATCATCCACATCATGAGCAAAAGTAGCAGTAACACGAACAGGAGCAAGTGCTGTTAAAATTACAAAATAGTACTTTTTAGTCTAGTTATTATATTTCGGTACATTAAATAGTGTAACAAACAAACTGTCACATAACAGAACGTACACTGAATAAAATAAAGAACAGGCAGTGGAGGGTCATAAAAATGTAAAAAAGAAACTATGCAATATTATGTGCATTTAAATAAATACCACAGCTGTGGTCTATTAAATAGTATAACTGAAATAAAGATGAATTCAGAACTAGAATAAAACTAGAACAGAACTAGAACAAAATTAGAACAGAACTTGAACAAACTAGAACAGAACTAGAACAGAACTAGAACAGAACTAGAACAGAACTAGAACAGAACTAGAACAGAACTAGAACAGAACTAGAACAGAACTAGAACAGAACTAGAACAGAACTAGAACAGAACTAGAACAGAACTAGAACAGAACTAGAATAGAACTAGTTCTGAACTAGAACAGAACTAGAACAGAACTAGAAACTAGAACAGAACTAGAACAGAACTAGAACAGAACTAGAACAGAACTAGAACAGAACTAGAACAGAACTAGAACAGAACTAGAACAGAACTAGAACAGAACTAGAACAGAACTAGAACAGAACTAGAACAGAACTAGAACAGAACTAGAACAGAACTAGAACAGAACTAGAACAGAACTAGAACAGAACTAGAACAGAACTAGAACAGAACTAGAACAGAACTAGAACAGAACTAGAACAGAACTAGAACAGAACTAGAACAGAACTAGAACATAACTAGAACAGAACTAGAACAGAACTAGAACAGAACTAGAACAGAACTAGAACAGAACTAGAACAGAACTAGAACAGAACTAGAACAGAACTAGAACAGAACTAGAACAGAACTAGAACAGAACTAGAACAGAACTAGAACAGAACTAGAACAGAACTAGAACAGAACTAGAACAGAACTAGAACAGAACAACTAGAACAGAACTAGAACAGAACTAGAACAGAACTAGAACAGAACTAGAACAGAACTAGAACAGAACTAGAACAGAACTAGAACAGAACTAGAAACAGAACTAGAACAGAACTAGAACAGAACTAGAACAGAACTAGAACAGAACTAGAACAGAACTAGAACAGAACTAGAACAGAACTAGAACAGAACTAGAACAGAACTAGAACAGAACTAGAACAGAACTAGAACTAGAACAGAACTAGAACAGAACTAGAACAGAACTAGAACAGAACTAGAACAGAACTAGAACAGAACTAGAACAGAACTAGAACAGAACTAGAACTAGAACAGAACTAGAACTAGAACAGAACTAGAACAGAACTAGAACAGAACTAGAACAGAACTAGAACAGAACTAGAACAGAACTAGAACACAACTAGAACAGAACTAGAACAGAACTAGAACAGAACTAGAACAACAGAACTAGAACAGAACTAGAACAGAACTAGAACAGAACTAGAACAGAACTAGAACAGAACTAGAACACAACTAGAACACAACTAGAACAGAACTAGAACAGAACTAGAACAGAACTAGAACAGAACTAGAACAGAACTAGAACAGAACTAGAACAGAACTAGGACAGAACTAGAACAGAACTAGAACAGAACTAGAACACAACTAGAACAGAACTAGAACAGAACTAGAACAGAACTAGAACAGAACTAGAACACAACTAGAACAGAACTAGAACAGAACTAGAACACAACTAGAACACAACTAGAACAGAACTAGAACAGAACTAGAACACAACTAGAACACAACTAGAACACAACTAGAACAGAACTAGAACAGAACTAGAACACAACTAGAACACAACTAGAACACAACTAGAACACAACTAGAACACAACTAGAACACAACTAGAACACAATTAGAACACAACTAGAACACAACTAGATCACAACTAGAACACAACTAGAACACAACTAGAACAAACTAGAACACAACTTGTTTAGCTCAACACGATGGGATGAAATGCTCTTTATCAGTCTAGGGTTAGAACAGAGAAGAAGTTAGAGTAGTAATTAGTTTACAATCCGGAAGCAGTGTTAGGACATGTTAGGCCGTTTGACATTTCTCTATTGTTGGGCATTAAATTAGAAAGAGATAAATAGTTATGTTGATAACTATTTATCCACGTAAACTTCAGCTTTTGTTTACGTTGTATGGGAAAGCAAGTGGGCTGAAGTTGTAGGGTTAATGACATGAATATGTCATGTTGTTGGCGTAAACATTGCCGCCCGCCTTGCAGGATACGTGCAAATGAACAAAGGAGCCATGCCATGTCTTAATACTGCTGTGAAAAAGGAAGAAAGAGAGTAATTATAAAAATTTAAATTCAATTTTACTGTAATTCAAATGCTTACATTCTAGTTTACAAATATTGAAATAATAAAAAAAAAAAAATTAAAACAATTTTAATATAATAGAAATAGATATAAATTCAAAAATAAGAAATTCTGTGTTTTAAATAATACGTTTTGTATTTTGCATGCCTGAAAGTGCATTTCGAATCTAAAGCGAACAAGGACCATAAATAGTCCACCCGAATATAGTGCTTTGAGCAGTAGGAAAGCCTATTTTCGAAAAAACCCCTTCTAGAATTATCTTCGGATAAAGATCAGCACCGATTACCATATCAATTGAAGCCGATTCATAGAATTTGGAATCGGCTAAGAACATATCGCGAAAATGGGTTTTGTAGTGTTCAGGAAGGGATTCTGATGGAGTTCGGAGAGCTATCCGATTATCTACCCTAAAGGTTCCCTCGATTTTTGAACTCGAATCGAATCTAGATTTTAGAACAATAGGACAGAATGTCTCTTCGTGTAGACTGAATGCGGTTAATCTTAACTTATCAACGAACCCTTTTGAGACGCGACTAACCGTAGATGCTGAGTCCAGTAAGCACCTAGCATGATGAGAAGAGACCTTTACCAGTACGGTTGGTAAAAGTACCAATGTATTCTGACGCAGAATGGATGTTAACGATGTCGATTTTGATGTAAATTTTGATGTCGATGGTGGCAAGGCCTCTTCTTTACGTCTGGACGAGGATTGACCTGTTCGAGACGTAGATGGTTTTGGAGAAGGCGAACGAGAACGAGGAGACAATAAGTCTTTTACGAGTCGTGGATTGACATGGAGAAGCGTATGGTGAAACTTGTGGCAATGTTTGCATCCAAGTTTCGAAAAACATGTGCCATGCGAATGGTCATGTGCAAGGCAGTTTGAGCAGTACTTATGCTTACGCACTGCGTGAATGCGATCGTTTATGTTCATTGCCAAAAACTTCTTACATGTCCGCAAAGGATGTGGTCGCTTGCAAATTCTGCATGGAAATGCATTATACTGCCTCGGAAGTCTATCGGGGGAAGATTTAGAGTCGGACGAAGTAATTTTAGGCATGTTGATCTGAAAGAGAAATGTTAAAATAAGTAAATAATTTAAAGAAATGTAAACACCTAAGATTCTGTCGGCAGAAGAATAAGCTTTACGATTGGACGCGTTATTAGCCCTCGTTGAGTTAATATTTCAGCAACGCGAACTCGATTATCGGAGCCGGTATAGATTTTGGTGACTCGACCAAGCCGCCAAGAGTTCGGTGGAAGGTTTTCTTCTCTTACAACGACGAGAGCGCCTTCTTGTAGATTCTGTTCAGGCCTTTTCCATTTTATTCTTTTGTGAAGCTCCTTCAAATATTCATTTTTCCATCGCTGGCAGAAGTTTTGATGAACAAGCTTCAATCTTTGCCATCGGTTTGTGATGGATATGGATGAATTATTTATTTGTGGATCGATGGGCGCGAGGAGAGGCGAACCTATAAGAAAATGACCCGGAGTAAGGGCGCAAAGGTCTGCTGGATCAGTAGACATTGGAGAAATCGGACGGGAGTTTAAGCAAGACTCAATTTTGGAAAGTAGTGTGGATAATTCTTCGTGTGTGTATTTGAAGCAACCGGCCGTTTTCCGGAAATGGGACTTGAAGCTTTTAACTCCTGCCTCCCATAAACCACCCATATGAGGGGCGCCTGCTGGAATAAAGTGCCACGTAATATTTTGATGAGCATAGTTGGCTTGAATGCGCTGTTGTGTGGTTTGAAGAAATTCCTTAGCTAAAGTTCTAGATGCCCCAACGAAGTTAGTCCCGTTATCAGAATAAAGATGTAAAGGACATCCTCGACGTGAAACGAATCTGCTGAATGCTGCTAGGAAGGCAGGAGTGGAGAGGTCGGATGTTGCCTCCAGGTGAATTGCCTTGGTGGAAAAACAGACGAATACACAGACATATCCCTTTGTAGTGCGACAACCGCGACCAGAATAGCTCTTAACGTCGAAAGGACCAGCGAAGTCTAGTCCTGTATGAGTAAAAGGACGGCTAATTTCGCAACGTTCAGCTGGCAAAGCAGCCATTATCTGTCGTTGACAGCGCTTCTTATAAATTACGCAAGTTTTACAATTGTTGATGGTCGCCTTTATAAGATTTTTGGCCTTGGGTATCCAATATTGTGTCCGCAGGACTCGAAGAACTAATTGGTTTCCACCATGTAAGGATATATCGTGAATAAACTGTACCAAAAGTCTGGCAAATTTGGAATTGTATGGAATAATAATCGGATGCTTTTCATTATATGATAGTTCAGAAGAAAACTCTAGCCTACCACAAGAACGTATTAAACCTTCTGGATCTAAGAACGGGTTTAGGTTGAGAATACTGCTGGATTTCGGAAGATTTTTTCGAGAACAAAGAGCCTGGTAGTCATTTGGAAACGCAGCCTTTTGACACACTGAAATAAGTTTGTCACGAATTGAAACTATCTCCGAACTAGTGACCAGAGTAGAATCTCTGTAGAAATTCGAACGAAACCTTGGGTGAGTACGATAGTAAAACCTGTAAACATATGCCATTACACGCATAGCCCTAGGAAAAGACGAAAATCTTTCTAACAAATCATCAAAGTCGGAAAAATACGTAAAGTGAACTCGAACAGGTTTGACTTCTAAATCAGTAACTGGAATACTGGATAAACGTTGGTTTGGCCATTCAGAAGTGGAATTCTTAAGCCATGATGGGCCAAACCACCACAGTTCACTGTTTTTTAATTCTAAAGGGGAAATGCCACGACTTGCTAAATCAGCTGGATTTTCTTTAGAAACTATATGATTCCATTTAGAAAAAGGTACTATTTGGCTGATTTTTGAAACACGATTGGCAACGAAAGTGAGCCAATTACATGGTGGTTTTGCCAGCCAGGAAATCACAATTATAGAATCTGTCCAACATGAGATTGTATAGTTCTCCACATCTAGGCTTGGTATGAGGTTCTCAATCATCTCAGCTAGAAGTAAAGCCCCACAAAGCTCAAGTCTCGGAATGGACAGAGTCTTTATTGGGGCAACTTTGGTTTTGGATGAAATTAAGCTTGTTTGGACCGAGGAATTCGTTGATATTCGAATGTACAATGCTGCTGCGTAGGCCTTTTCTGAAGCATCACAAAATCCGTGGAACTGGACTTCAGAATTGGGAACATAACCAATCCATCGAGGAATTCGTATGGAATTGATCGACAAATAACTGTCTTCGAACGACTTCCACTGACCGAGCGTATCCGGCAATAGATGCTCGTCCCAATCAGTGCCATCTATCCATATTTTTTGCATTAGAATTTTAGCAAGAACTATACATGGCGCTAGCCAGCCAGCAGGATCGAACAATTTTGCTATTCTGGAGAGAACTTCTCTTTTTGTGTATGCAGAAATCTTATCGAACTGTTTTGCGTCAAAATAAAACTCGTCGGAATGAGCATTCCATCGAATTCCAAGCGTTTTTGCCGAACTATTATCTTCGAATTTTAGAAAATGTTCATGAAGTAAATGATCCTTTGGAAGATCCTCTAATATATCCACGGAGTTAGATGTCCATTTCCTCAGCTCGAACCCAGCTGATTGTAATGCATGAATTAGCTCATTTTTCGCTAGAATAGCATCTCGTTTTGAATGAGCTCCGGCCAGAACATCGTCCACATACATTGCTTTTCGGAGAATTGAACTTGCTATGGGGAAAGCGTCCCGAACATCATCCGAAAGTTGTAGAAGCGTACGAATTGCCAAATAGGGAGCACAATTTAAGCCGAAGGTGACTGTTTTCAATTCGTAATCACCAATTGAACTATTTGGAGTATCGCGGAATAGAATTCTTTGGTATGGGGTGTGTTTTGGGTCAACTAATATCTGTCTATACATTTTTTGAATATCGGCATTGAAAACAAATTCAAAGAATCGCCACCTAAGAATCAGTAAAGTGAGATCATTTTGTAGAATAGGACCTACATGAAGGACAGAATTCAGACTCAATCCATTGGAAGATGGGGACGAAGCATTAAAAACGACGCGAACCTTTGTAGTAACGCTTTCAGGCTTAACCACAGCATGGTGAGGAAGATAATACACATTATTTTGATTAATATTGGAAGAATTTACTTTGGTCATGTGTCCAAGTTCTTCGTATTCACGAACAACCTTGTCATATTCCAATTTAAGGTCAGCATTTCGAATTAGTCTAGCCTCATTTCTAAGAAATTGTGCCATTGCACTGGATCTAGAATGGCCAAGGTTTGGATTCTCTGGAAACCCATCCTTGAATGGTAACGACACAATGTACCGACCATCTGAATTCCTACGCGTTGTTTGAACGTATAGCTCTTCACATGTCCGATCAGAAGCAGACAAAAAGTTCTTCTTTGGAAGATTCTCCACCTCCCAGAAGCGCGAAATTGCCTTATCTAAGGTAATTTCGCAGAAATGTGAAACAATAGAAAGACATGGATTGGTATGACGAGAAACCGGACCAGTAAGAATCCACCCAAAAATGGTTTCTTGAGCTAAAAGAGATTCACAAACATTATGTATAATCCCAGAACGAACAATCATTGGAAATATGTCGCCACCAATCAGCATGTCAATTTTCGAACTGGAATAGAACTTAGGATCCGCTAATTGTATATTTGGAATACTCGAAAATCTTGAAAAGGAATAGTTCTGAGAGGGGAGATTATTGGACAAATGAGGAACTACAAGAGCTGTGATAGGAATTGCGATGTCGCTATCCATGTTAGAGCCTAGTACCAGAGAGCATTGGCGTTGAACTTTTGCCGAAATAGTGTTATTCAGGCCCGAAATCTGGGCATTGGTAGGGTGTGAGGGAAGCTTATGGGTATTGAGAAGACGTTCGGATATAAAAGTTCCCTCTGAACCTGAATCTATTAGTGCCCGTACCTGATATTTCGTGCCTAAATGGAGTATATTCACCCACGCTGTTCCAAGTAAAACACTCGTTGAATTCGAAGCGAAACAAGATTGAACTTGGCCTGAAGTTGAAGTATTAATGGACTGTATTGGACCTGAATTTGAAGGGGAAAAGGCGGCCGAAGTAGGATTGAGTGTCGAACTGGAACTTGGACCATGGTGAAAAGAATTAGAGTTATCATCTTCCTTATGCAGAAGAGTATTGTGTCTTTTTTTGCATTTGAAACAAGTATGCTTGCTAGTGCAGTTTCTGACACTATGCGTTTTTGAAAAGCAATTCAGACACATACTCTCCTTCTTGATTTCGTTAAGGCGTTGTTGATAACTCATTTTTAAAAACTTAGGACATTTACGTATGGTATGTTCTTCTTTAGGACACAATTGACACTTTGGAAGAGATACATTAGTCTGAAAGCTGTGAATTTTTTTATTCGAATTTGAAATAGACATATTTTGGGGTTTCGGATCATTATTTTTAGAACTGCTTGAACCACGAATCTCGGAAACAGATTCTAGAGTCCTGTAGCGATTAGTTAAAAATTCGTCTAATTCTAACCACTTTGGAATGGAAGTTTTATCCTTTAACTGTTGTTCCCACAGTGTCAAGGTGTTCTCTGGCAGTTTACTCGTACATATGAATACGAATATAGGATCCCAACTTCCGACATCTATATTATAAAGTTTCAGGATAGAGATACAAGAATTTATATCTCTTTGTAATTGTTTCAGAGAGTTTCCTGATTCGGAATGAGAAGCCTTTAGGTTAAACAAGATCTTTAATTGACCATTAACCAATATCCTTCGGTTCTCATATCGCAAACACAAATTGTTCCATGCCAAGTCGAAACCTTGATTTGTTAAGGGACTTTTTTGAACGATTTCTCTGGCCTCACCTGTGGTTTTCCGCGTTAAGAAGAATAACTTCTCGACATTGCTTGCCCGAGAGTTGGATACGACTGCGGTAAACATGTCTCGGAAGGTGGGCCAGGAGGAATATTCACCATGAAATGTTTCGATCTCAACAGGTGGCAAGTGAAAACTATGAGATTCGGAAGGAAACGAAGTAGGAAACTCTCGTGACGCACTAGAAGAAGCAGGGATATTAGGAACAGGATTAGCAGGAGCAGAAATGTTTGGCATTAAAAGCTCTGGATGGGGCAAGGACCCTATACGAAGCTCATCACAGATTTCGGACAATTTTTTCATACAATTACAGTACGTCGTATATGTACTCTTGTATTTTATCTTAAAAGACTCTACGTCAATTGGATCTTCAGTTTGGCCCCTTTCTTTCTCAATATCGGACAAAAAGTTATCGTATGCTATCTTAACTCGATTCCAATTGGATCTCAGTTCACCACGATGGACTTCGATGGTATGAACCGAATCCACAGGATACTGATTGTTGTTAAGGTCAGCCTCGAATTCGACCAGGGTATCCGCAAAGCGAATAAATTGATCCAATGACATTTTGAATTTAATACGAACTATCAAAGGTTAGAAAGATTTGTTTGAAACTCCAAATTCGAAAACCAGATGGGAAAAAATCAAATCAGAAAATGATCTAGCTCTCGAAATTATGAAAATATTTATAAAAAGTTATTTCACTTGATGTAGAGATTAGTCACAAAAAAACTAAATATCTGCTCAATATTAAAAAAAATCGTTGCTAATTCATACAAATTTCACCAAAATTATTTTGAAATGTTTATTTAATAACAGACAATTGATTAAAACTTGAATTTGAGAATAAATAAATAAAATTTTAGTTTAACGCATAAAATTAATATCGAAAGAAAATATTTATCATTAAGAAATCTGAATATTTCGACTTGTGAAGAAATCTTGAAACAAATTTAAATTATTAAGTATAGTTGAAATTAGAAATAAACTGTTAAAACCCAAATCAGTTAAAAAATTCAACAGAAACGTTGATGGGGGAAATTTAGTTTAAAAGGTAATCAAATTTATTCTGTACGAAAAGCTAAACCAATTGAATTTAAAAGAAACTCAGTCAAATTCTTTCTGTGAAATATTATAGCGAAATTTTGAAAACGGAAATATGTATATATTTAACTTTGGCGGTTGAAACGAATGTACTCTTTTAAATATCTAGCTTTTAGATCAGCTGTTTAATGAAAACAAAAACCTTTTATTTATGGGAAATTGCACTACACTTCCACGAAACTTCCCAACAATCGGTCTGTTCGCGGATAATTATACTACACGACGAATATTTGTACTTTCTGGTTGGACTTCCACGAAACTTCCCAACAATAGGTTTGTTCGTGACACAAAATGAAAAGTGTCCTGAACCGAAAGAAAAGTATAATTTGACTTATATTATGACTGAGTATAAGTATTATAATAATTATAATTGAACTAACTTAAAACAAATAACCTTAGAAATTTCCAGAAATAAAATTGAAATTTATTAGAAAGTTGTTGTTTGAATTAAAATTAAGCGAAAAAATAAAATTAATCAGAATAATTTAAATTCTCGAATTAAGATATAATTCTATATAATAATTTTCAAATATAATTAAAACTCTCACAAACAAATGGTAGCCAGTAATAGATCAATGATTTGATATATAAATATATATAAATAAATAAAAAATATACTGTCACACAAGCAATCAACGAAGAAGCCTATTGTGATGATTTTTTTTTTTTTTGTTTATGTATGAACTCATGGAAGTGTGAAACAGGGTTGCCGTGACGCTATTTATTTATGTCGTTTAAAGAATAATTTGACAATTTTGGGAACCTTTTTATATTGGATATTTTTATCTTTAACAAAGTAATATTTCTTTAAAATGTGTTTCGCATGAAAACAAATATTTAAAAAAAAATTATTTTATAATGAGTTAAACTCGCAAAAAAAATATTAATCTTGCTTCTTTGAAGGGAAAATTAATTAATTAAATTTAGAATATCGGATGACTAGAACTGAACTAGAACTGCATGAAATTATTTTCAAATGAAAACCATAACATTTTAAATTTAACACGTTTATGTGGACTTAAATTGATCTTAATCTAAATCTTAGAAAACGTTGCGTATAAAAATTCCTGACTACGAATCTGTCAGCGTTTTAGTAGTAATTTCAAATAATTGTATATTCCAAAACGTTTAATAAGTGATTTGGTAAATTATATTGAAACACAAGAAAACTTTGCTGGTAACACTGATGCGTTGGAATGGAAAAAAAAATCTCAAACAATATGTAGGAGAGTATGCGGTAGATAAAGAGAGTTGTACAAAAAAAAAAAAAAAGGGGAAACGATGTTCGGAGATCAAATAGAGATTACGTATAAACAATAAGAGATTATAACTACGATAGAATGGATAAGAGAGTGCAAGTAGGTTTTAATGTAAATTAAGAGAGTATTAATGTATTTAAAAGGGTAAGTAGGGGAAATGTGATGGCCCAAAACAAAAACATTAATTGTTTTTTAAGGGGAAAAAATGGGAGTAAGGGAAGATGAAAGGAAAAAAAAATTAAAAAGGGGAATAAATAAAAAACGAAATGGGAAATATTTTAAGGAGAATTAAATGGATTTAAAGAAAACTAGAAAAAAAGGGAGAATGTAAATATGGGAAAATAAAAAAAAACGAAATTGAAAATATTTTAAGGGGAAAAAATAAAATATACCTAAATGCATAAGAAATAAAGCGCAAGCAAAGGTACCCTACACTAAGACCGTGACGAACACCGAACGACTTGCAAATTTTGTATGTTATGGATTGATTTGTTGACTTACGGAAAATGACGAAAAACTTGATGGCCAAAATAGAGAAATATTCCTTGTGTTGATGTTTGTTGTTGGATCTCGTTCCGTCGGGCTTTTGCTTATTTTCAGCTTTTATTTTTCTGTTATTATTATTTATTATTTCGTCTTATATTATTATTATTTCTCGCCGATTTTCTTAATTATTTTCCCACAATAATATAATAATAATATTTTGTTTCTTTACAAAAATTTTCAATTATTTTATGTAATTATTTATTTAACAAGTCACCACGTTGTGGTTGAATTTAAAAAAAATAAGCAACAAAAATTCTCTGTGTCGATCGAAATGCACTCACTAACTAAAGGCTTAATAAATGCAAAACACTAAAACGTACCTTGATGTTAGTAAATGGATGGTAAAGAGATGATGATGATGAAGAGTTGATGATTATGAAGAGTTGATGATAATGATGGTAATATTAATCCACAGAAACAATAAGAGAGATTTTCAATCTGGCTCGATGGGACCAAATGTTTAGCTCAACACGATGGGAGAAATGCTCTTTATCAGTCTAGGGTTAGAACAGAGAAGAAGTTAGAGTAGTAATTAGTTTACAATCCGGAAGCAGTGTTAGGACATGTTAGGCCGTTTGACATTTCTCTATTGTTGGGCATTAAATTAGAAAGAGATAAATAGTTAGTTTGATAACTATTTATCCACGTAAACTTCAGCTTTTGTTTACGTGTATGGGAAAGCAAGTGGGCTGAAGTTGTAGGGTTAATGACATGAATATGTCATGTTGTTGGCGTAAACACAACTAGAACACAACTAGAAATAAAGTACAAAATTTGTTACAATAATTATGTCTTTTTTGCTTTCCTTTTACTCATTTAATCTAAATTAATATGCAAAACTCGGATCACGTACTATGTGCTATTATTTAAACATTTATTTATGTAAAGATTTACACTTATAAGAACCCAATATAAAAATAAAAGTAAGATTAAATGTTAAATGTTTTTTCACACCTTCTGTTCGCTTTTTGGTAGTGCTACTTGTGACTTTTCGTAAGATAAATAAATTGAGAAGTTTATAAGTATTGTCATACATAAACAAAGAAAAAGGAAGAGAAAAATGAAAAGTCATCAGGGTAATATGTCAAGACACAAGCATACATACACTCTTTTATATAAATACACATACTATTATTTATTTATAATGATATAAAAAATTAGTGCGATCGTTATAAGTGACAAGCGAGAAAAAACTAAAAAGTAAAAATTTATGCTTTTAGTAGTCATTATGTATTAAAATTAAAAAAAGTTAATGAAGTGTGTGTGTTTGTGTTTGAGAAAAACTTTGTAGGAACTGAAAAAGTGGCAACATGAGGCTATGTGTAAAGATGACTAAAGGACTAAACTTAAAATATAAAACGACATTTTAATTTAAAAATTATCATTGTAAGTGTTTGCATCAATATATGGGAGGTAAACTTTAGCTTAAATTTTTGTGTATATGTTAAATATTTTTAAAAACTTATTTAATTAAAAAAAATGCAAAAAGTTATAAAATACACTTTTCCCTATTCTAACATCTTGAAAAGTAAAATTAATTAATATTAATCTTACTTTGCAAGTTTTCCATTTCCCTGTAACCAAACCAACCTAACTCTGCCACTAACCACTTTTATTTTTCTTCTTACGTTGTTAAATACCAGAAAAGAATGTGTAATTATATTTATGTTGTTGGCAGAACAAACAAACAGAACAGTAACAACAGCAACAAATTTACCAACAACATGGAACTTAACAATTTAATGAAAATTTGTTCCTGGTTTTTATTTTTACTTTTATTTTATTTTTCTTATTTGACAAAATATAACTTTAAGCAATACATTGCCAAAGAAAAAGAGAGCTACTAAGATAATGCGTTAGTGTACTTAGCCGTTTGTCTCTTATCATCAGCATCATCCTTATAATCATTTAACATTAAAGTGGAGGCGTTGCCGAACCTTCTAAAATATTCTCTATACAATTTAAAAAGTTTTCAATTAAAATTCTACCTTGACAGGTTAAACTAAACTGAACTAAAACTTAAACTTAAAAATGTGTTTAAACTTTTTCTCTCTCCTTTTTTAAGAGATAAACTTAAGTACTAATTGCATGTGTGCATGTAAGTTTTGTACGTGTGTCTGTGTGTGTGTATATGTGTAAGAGAGACAGTGTAACAAAGTTTAAATTTGTGTTAAAGAAATTAAGTTTATTTTGATAAATTGCTGCAGGAATTTGTAATTAGTATTTGTAAGTAATAAGGAGGTATTTAATAAAACGGCGTTTTTATCTTTTTCTTCGAATTTAACACCAAGACGGAATATAGTCGTTCAAGCCAACTGTTCTAATAGAGACCACAAATCTAGGAAGTTTTTAAATTATGTATAATAAAACAAAAAATCTGTTTTAACTTTCATAAAGAAAATTTTTTTATAATCGTTCTTCTGTGTTAAAATAACACAGTACAAATGTTAATAAGTTCGCCGACTTTTTAAACTTTACTTTTCAAATATTGTTCTTTAATGTTATATTTTCCTCATTGTGTATCTAAAAGTCAATGTTTTAAAATTTATTATAGAGATTTCTAAATTATCTTTAATAAATTTATGTATATATTTTTACCTTTTCTTTTACCACTTTATCTTGTTGATTCCGTCAACAATGTTGTTTTCATTTGGTCAT